TAGATAAATAATAATAAAAAAAAAATAGTGGTAGTAACAAAAAATGCATGTGAAATTGCAAAAGTTTTAGTAAAATTAAACTGCTTATTTTATGTTGAAATTGTAAATCAATAACAAAAACATTTATTAAAAGTCAATTAATAATAATAATAACTGCACCAAATCTCACCTGCATGCAGAAGATTAAAATAAGGAGTTGTCTTAATAAATTTCCAGTAGCGTACATACCATGCAGTGTATCCCGAATGAAGTTCTTTCTCTGATTTCTTCTTTGTAAAGGCAAACGCAAATCTAAACTGTTGAGAATGTCGTCGGGTAAAAGTCACGTGGGAAGGAAAGATGATCCAGTGATGCAGTACCTCCTCAATCACTCGCTCAGGGAACATCCAGCCCTCCAAAAACTATGCCAGGTTCGTATTTCTCTTCATAACGACGTCTGTGGCTTTCCTACGGATAATAGCAATAAAATCCAAAGGAAACGTGAAGGTATCAAGACTATTATCACTTCTAATAAATGCCTATGAATAATTTGTTTGCTTTTGTAATTCCCCAAATGGGTGTTGTACAGTGACTGTGCTTAACGAACTTAATTTCAGTAATTGTGCTTAATTATTATCTCTAGAAAACCATGGAGCATGAGTGGAGCATGATCATGGTGGCCTGTGAGCAGTCGCAGTTCATGGCAAATCTAGCCAGTTTAATCAAGGCCAAGAAAGCTATTGAAATTGGTATGGCACTTCATAATACACTGCACAGATATAAATAATATAATACAGCTCGAAGGTCTGAGCAATCTTTCTGGAGACTGGTGAGATACATATGAACTGACTCTGTTTACATCTCTATTCATGCTCATTTCTGGTCTTATTGTGCAAGAAGCAACTTTGCTTCTCTTTCTTTTTCCATTTGTTGAATGTTTTCTATAACAGAACTTCATTAGTAGTCCACTTTACCGTTCATAAACTCACTATACAAAGCATACGATATTTCATATTCACTATAATCAAATTTTCAAGTAGGAAGTGGAAACCTGGATTTTCCACAATCACATAAATCTGTCCTTTTCAGAGACCATAAACCTTCAGCGCTGCCTTTATGTAGGTTAATATTTAAACCTGAGACTTTTAACATAGTGAATGAATAACGATGTTTAACCCCAGTTTGCTCCAATGGATGAGTTTAATATTCATATAACTTGCTTTGGATGTTTGCTAATTGACAGCTTACAGATTTAAATATTCTCATTGAATCACTGTCTGCACTGCATTAGGTTGTTATATGAATAAACGTGACCCTGGAGCACTAAACCAGTCATAAGGGTCATTTTTTTTAAATTGAGAGTTATACATCATCTGAAAGCTGAATAAATATTACGGTAGAAAATTTACAAATTATCTTCATGGATCATGATCTTTACTTAATATCCTAATGATTTTTGGCATAAAAGAAAAATCTATAATTTTGACCCATACAATGTATTGTTGGCTATTGCTACAAATATACCCCAGAGACTTAACACTGCTTTTGTGCTGCAGGGTCACATATATTATGAAGTTTTTGGATCTCTAAATTCATTCAACTTCTGTGTGATCAGCCTCACCGCTTTAAGCAATCAGGCTCGATTATTTCCTGTGGATTCGACATTATGTAAAGATTATAATCATGTATTTAATAATCTTCCTCTCATGTTCTGAAATCTTCTCAGGCCTGTGTTGAGCACAAAATAGACGTGCGTCTGAAGCCAGCACTGCAAACGCTTGGTAAGATCTGGATTTTTCAAGCATTGTGAACTTATTATATCCAAAATAAAAAAAATGTCAATGTAATATCATTGAGATACTATTATATTTATCATAAATATATATTACGGTTTTAATTTTAATTTTAGTTAAATAGTTTAAATAAAGTTTTAGAAAATGTGTTGTGTGTTTCTCCCTATTATTAGTTTTTTTTATTTATTTATATATCTGTAATTTTTTTATTTATTTTATTTCAGTTATTTTAGTACATCAAGTTAAAATAAATTAAAATGAGAAATATTGGCTTGGCAACTAGCTGAAATAAAATAGGTTTTAAGCTTTAATAAGCTGTACTTTGAAAAAGCACACTATATGGTAAAACTATAATATAAACTATAATATAGTATGTTTCAGTTAATGTTCATTTTAAGTAACAATAATGTTTTATATGTAACTACATAGTAACTACAATAACAATGGTTGGCCCAATGAGATTGGACAGCAGATTTTCTTTTTTTTTTTTTTTTTTATATATATATATATATCAGTCAACATTCATTTTATTTCAAGTAATGAAATTGGCCTTTATGGTCATATAATTTACCTTTGGCATGAGTCATAAAATAATTACACTATTTGGAGTATTTACATAGAAAAGTGCAAAAACATATTTGTTTAAATGATATATTGATGTACATTCAGGTCTCATCTGATGTGAGATTTGCTTTGAACAGTGATGTCCTGACATCTGGAAGTCTAAAGAGTTTTTTAAATTTCATATTAAAGCAAATTAATGTATATTAAATATGAAATGTGTTGAGGATGTTAAGATGAACATGTCAGGGTGTTTCGACCTCATAATGTTTCTATAATGTGTGTGTTATTAGATGAGCTTCTGGCCGCTGGTGAAGCAGAGACGTTTGATTTTGTCTTCATTGACACTGACAAAGTCAGCTACGATGACTACTATGAGAAATCCCTGCAGCTAGTCAGGAAAGGAGGAATAATCGCTATAGATAACGTGAGTGATCATATCTGTTCACACTCATGTTTCTACAATAACGTTCTGCTTTTAACTCGGAGATGCATTCCTGAGAGCGGTTCCATCAAAACTGAATTAGCTAAATTAAGCTCATGCTGCCCTTTAACGAACAATGAGAGCAGACAGTGAGCAGCAGCTGTCAAGAGTTTCAACATAAAAAAACACTATAAAAGCATCATAAAGCATGTGCACTACAGCCTTTTACAGTCTAAAAAAATCTTATTTGTGCATATTCAAACATGCCATGACATATTTGGACAATGCCATTGCCAAAAGCCTGTTTCCACAACAGAATATACAATAAAAAAGCCAATTGCAACTTTTTATCTCACAATTCTACTTTTTTCTTGTTAGAATTGCGAGAGATAAACTCAAAATTCTGGGGAAAAAACTGTATTTTTCCATTCAGTGGTGTTAAGCATCAATGTCTTATGAAATATGATGTACACTGAACAGTTGTTTCTTTCGCTCACCAAAGCTGCATTTATTTGATCAAACATACTGTAAAAATGTGTAATATTATTAATATTTAAAATAGCTGTTTTCTATGTGAATATCTGTTAAACTATAATTTATTTCTGTGATCAAAGCTGTATTTTCAGCATCATTACTCCAGTCTTCAGTGTCACATGATCTTCATAATATGCTGACTTGCTGCTCAAGAAACATTTTTGCTGCCCAATATTTTTACGGAAACCACAATACATTTTATTTCTCAGTATTCTTCTCCTAAGTATATAAAGTTCAAAAGAACAACATTTATTTGAGAGAGAATCTTTGGTAGCATCATAGATGCCTTTACTGTCACTTTTGATCAATTTAATGCATCCTTGATGAATGAAAGTATTAATTTATTTCAAATGAAATATCTGACCTCTAGGTGCTGTGGAGCGGTCGAGTGGTGAACCCATAGGAAGGTGACATCGACTCCATCAGCATTGATAAACTGAACAAGAAGCTCCAACGAGACACCAGAATCCATCTGAGCATGTTAACAGTAGGCGACGGTCTGACATTAGCATTCAGAATATGACTTTATAGTGATATACCATCATAACAGACTGAAGAAAACATTTGCAATCATTTATTTAGGTTGTTCAACTGAGAACATGCATTGCAATAATTGAAAGTTTTGTATTCAATTGTTCATGGTGCCAACTATTGATTGTTTCTGAAAATACATTTCCACAATAGACTTTAATTCGACTGTAAAAGGCTGTAGTGCACATGCTTTATGATGCTTTTATAGTGTTTTTTTTATGTGGTATAAATTTTTCATTATAAAATGAAAGGTAAAATGAAAGGTAAAAAAAATAACTAACAAATACAGCTAGCTAACACAATAAAAAACATGATTTTTGAAAATTCAAAAAAACTGAATTATCTGTTTTTGCACATAAACTCTTTGTATATTTATAAATATTATAAACATTTTTTAAATGTAGTTAATAAAACACAAAACAATTCCAGTTTTAGGACTTTATTGCAAAGGTGGACATACAGAATGTGCGGCTCAGCAGGGAAAGCCTCTGGTCTCGTATCCGTGTCTGTGTGAGGGTTTCTGGAGAGGTCAAGTGAAACAACCGCAACATCTCTCGCCGAAAGAACCCGTTTGAACACCGTAAAGCCTGAATGCAGAGAGAGAAGGACGATAAAGCCAAGCGACCACAACAAACAGCCGACAAAAGCGTCCAGACATCACTAACCAGCAGCGGCACGAGGAGACGCTCCGTGTGCAAATCTACATTCAGAACTTGCTCACCCTCATGTTGATCCAAACCAACATGTAGTCATTTTTAACATTTTTACACAATCTTTTCCACACAAAAACAGGCTGTCAAGCTCCAAAAATGACATGAAGTCATAAAATGATCAGAGTATATTTATGTTGCTCACATTAAGCCATTGTATGGTTTGGAGTTTGGCAGTCGTGGTCACTGTTGTTGTATAGAAAGGAGCTGCATAAACATTTAGGTTTATTAAAATAAAGGTTTGCACCAACATGAGAATGAGTAAATAATAATATTTACATTTTTGGTAAACTATTACTCAGAAAATGACCTGGAAAGGAAAGCACATGCAGATCGAAAGCGCTGGTTTGGAGAGAAATATTGACAGTAAAGGTAGTGCAGCAAATAAATAATAGATGCCTGAGGCACAGGTTTGGGTTCAGCGTTCGGTTTAAACGCGTGTGGAGAAACACAATGCTCAGTCGGGTGTTACGCCTCCAGCTCGAGTCCCAGACCCAGTCTGTGGCCTCCAGCGTTGATGTTCTTCCCATCGAGCAGGGCGGAAAGCATCAGCTTCACTCCTGGACACACACACAGTTTGCATCAGACGCAAGCGTCAAACTCATCATTGGGTCAAACTCATGTCAAACACATTTCACACCAGAATCAGAAGTACTTTTCTATCAAATAAATACTTGATTCTTTCGCTTTTGAGTGAAATATGACATGGTCATGGCTTCGTTTTGTGAGATTTATGCAGATATTCATTTTGGCACTCGTGTTCCAACAAAAAATAAATAAATAAAAAAGCACTTCAGTTAGAATGCACTTATATACTAACCCTACTGCTTGTAAGAGAAATAAAATAAAATATTTTAAACTAAACAAAAATGAAATAAAACAATACTACAATAAAATAAAAACAAAACAATATTTTATACAAAACAGAAAAAAAAATACCTGAAAGAAACACAGATGCTGTTAAATGACTGATGCATCTCAGTGACACAAAGACACTCTTACAGTCAGGTTCAGGATTCTTGTCGTCTTACAAAATAGAGTCTCAAAACAGAGGTGCAGCGTCTGCCGTCTCGCTAAATGAGAACATAAATACATGAACAACAGTCAGTGTCTGCTCTATTATAAATAATTTATATTTTAAAAATACCCAAAACAGCGGAATTACAAGATGGAAATATAGACTAGAAAGATATTTAAACTTGCTCTGCCCTTACGTCCATGACATTGACTCACTGCGGAGTTGTTTTGGCAAATAACTTTAAATAAATAACTTTAAATAACTTTTAAAAAATATACCCCTTTGTATTGCAATGCATATTGTATGTTCAGGGATGACAGATTGAGAAGCAGACATGCTATTTATGACTGGATGTAACTTTTCATACTTTGCAGTAAAAGTGGCTCTCCTATTAACTTTGTCCTATAAGTGCGGCTCTCGTGAAAAAAACAGTGAAGATCACTGCCCTAACTGAAATTATGCATTTTAAATTTGAATATAATTCGAATTTTGATAATATTTAAGTACAAAATTCGAATTTAGTTTTTCAGCCATTTTGACAGCCCTAAAAAAACAGACAAAACGAGCTTTTAAAAAAGCTAAAATAACTAAAAAACATTTTTTGTTTGTTTAAAAATGTTTGTTTTTTTATTGATAGAAATCAATAGAACTGGCATAATTTTTCTTATTTTAATTCGTCCCTCAACAACTCACTGGAATCCAGTCATAAAAACAGAATTTACTGTATAATGCGGAATGTCACGGAATTTGTCAAAGTTTGGGTGAATAAATCAAAAGTAGGTCATTACACTTAAATCAAATCGCAATATTGACTGGTATCTGTAAATATTAAGCTGCAAAAATACCATTTAAATATGAATCCTGCATGTCTCTTTATGAATGAATGGCACAGGCGCGCGGTTTCATTTACTACACACATACTGAAGCGCGCAGTGTTTTCAGCGTCTGCTGTCTCGCTAAATGAGAACATAAATACATGAACAACAGTCAGTGTCTGCTCTATTATAAATAATTTATATTTTAAAAATACCCAAAACAGCGGAATTACAAGATGGAAATATAGACTAGAAAGATATGTAAACTTGCTCTGCCCTTACGTCCATGACATTGACTCACTGCGGAGTTGTTTTGTCAATCTTTCCAGCTCTTAACGCCGAATGTGCTCTTATGGTTTGATACATGATGGGCTAATATAGAAGCAAATAACTTTTAAAAATAAACCCCTTTGTATTGCATTGCATATTATATGTTCAGGAATGACAGATTGAGAAGCAGACATGCTATTTATGACTGGATGTAACTTTTCATACTTTGCAGTAAAAGTGGCTCTCCTATTAACTTTGTCCTATAAGTGCGGCTCTCGTGAAAAAAACAGTGAAGATCACTGCCCTAACTGAAATTATGCATTTTAAATTTGAATATAATTCGAATTTTGATAATATTTAAGTACAAAATTCGAATGTAGTTTTTCAGCCCTATAATAACTAAAGCGGTCTACACAACAAGTGCCATCTTCCAGCTTATATGAGGTGTATCCCAGTGAAACTCACACTAATGGAGGAGCTGGAGTCCAGCATGTATTTGGCGGCGAGGCTGAAGCGTGTGCTGTTGCTGCCGGCGGTCCAGGCCAGATTCACCGCCGTCTCCAGATCAGCGCTCACTTTCTGATAGATGGAGCCGCCAAACTCCGTCCCATCATTCCTGCCACACAAACAGAGAGATGATCGCTGCTCGTGTTCCTCACGCAGCTCTGTCACGGTTAAACGTCAGATTATTGAGGACGGACCAGCGGTGCAGATCTAGTGTCTACAGGGAATATTCTGAACTAGAAACACACAAGTATTAATACACTTCCAATCAACACAGGCACTGTGCAAGCAAGTAATTGCAGTTATTATTTATTATTTTAAATAAAAAATATTGTTGATAAATAGTTATGATAATAATTAACAAGAATAATTGTTATTAATTATAAATTACATTCATAAAGAATTGTATATAATTAATAGAAATATATATACTAATAATAATTGTATATAATAATCATAATAGTTTTTATTAATTATAAATACAAAACAATAACAGTTGTCATTTATAATAACAATATAATATTTATTTTATTTTTAATATTTATGATAAAACAATATTTATTAATTATAAAACATAATAAACATTTATTATTTATACTAACACGCACTGTGTGCAAGTAAGTAATTGCAATTATTATTTATTATTTTAAATAATAATTATAATTATTACATCATTGTTGATAAATAGTTATGATAATAATTAACAAGAATAATTGTTATTAATTATAAATTACAATCATAAAGAATTGTATATAATTAATAGAAATATATACAGGTATACTAAATAATAATAATTGTATATAATAATCATAATAATTTTTATTAATTAGAAATACAAAACAATAACAGTTGTCATTTATCATAACAATATAATATTTATTTTATTTTTAATATTTATGATAAAACAATATTTATTAATTATAAAAACATAATAAACATTCATTATTTATACATTTATATTTATAATAATAACTACAAAAATAACTGTTGATTATAAATGATAGTTATAAATAATAATATTAAACTAATAAAATATTTTCCAAATAAAAACACTAATAACTGTTACGTATTAATTATAAGTAATAATAGTAATAATATTAATAGTTAGTAGTAGTAGTAGTATCATCAGTTAATAGTTATTTTAAATAATAATTGTTATATATTGTCATTATAAATAATATATATTTTTATTATTTTAATATTTAATATCAAATAAATAAAACTCTATTTTCTAAATAATAATGACAATTGTTTATTTACCATAAACAAAAATACTACAACAATAATTCGTAGCAGTAGTAGTACCATTACTGCTAATAAATAATGATTACTTTTACTAATGAATAAATAATAATTGTTTGTTATTAATTATAAATAATAATGTAATATGAATATTTATTATTAATATTATGATTAACAATAACAATACTACTTCTACAAATAAATGAATAAATAAAGACTGACTGCTAAAGCTCCGCAGATGGTGCATATCTTACACATTAGTGTGCAGCTGGAAGTCTCCGGTCTTGTATCCGATTGCGAAGTTGCTGCGAGTCATTTTGGACCTGGCGGTGTCAAAGGTCATCTGGTATCCGGCGAGCCAGCCCTCGTATCCCAGCACCGCCGCACCGTGGATGGCAGGACCGGCGAAGTCGAAATCCACATCACAGCCCACGTTCACGTATTCTCGCTTATACGCTGTCTTCACCTTGCCACTCTTCTTACTGTTTAAACAACACAAATGTGACCCTGGAGCACAAAACCAGTCATAAGGGTCCATTTTTTACGAAATTGAGATTTATGCATCATCTGAAAGCTGAATAAATAAGCTTCCATTGATGTATGGTTTGTTAGGATCGGACAATATTTGGCTGAGATACAACTATTTGAAAATCTGGAATCTGAGGGTGCAAAAAAATCTAAATATTGAGAAAATCATCTTTAAAGTTGTCCAAATTAAGTTCTTAGCAATGCATATTACTAATCAAAAATTAAGTTTTGATATATTTACGATAGGAAATTTACAAAATATCTTCATGGAACATGATCTTTACTTAATATCCTAATGATTTTTGGCATAAAAGAGAAATGGATCATTTTGACCCATACAATGTATTGTTGGCTATTGCTACAAATATACCCCAGAGACTTGAGACTGCTTTTGTGCTCCAGGGTCACATATAAAGCTCAGAGATCACCTCATCTCAAGCTCACGATACTTCACGTCATCGTACCCAGTGTTTGGTGAGAAGGTCGTGTCAAAGGTCAGCTTCAGTCCTTTGGTGATCTGAGAAACACAAAATATAACCAAATGCTAAATATATTATTCACCAATAACTGAGAATATTCATTTTTGTTTTCACAAGAAAATTGTTCATATAGTTTAAACAAACATGAATTAATTATAAATATAATTTAGTTTACTTTTTATTTATTTACTTATTATTAATAATAATACATTATTATTTATAAATTATACTATTTAAATGATAAATAAATAAATAAAGGATTGCTAAGGTACACCAGATAGTAACACATTAAATGTAATTTTAATGTGAAATGGTTTTAATTTGCTAATCATTTTGAAAGGGTTAAAAAGTAAAAGAATCCATTAGTGGTTAAAACATATGCAAAGAGTGAATTTCAGATGAAGAAGTAAGATTTTAGTGTAACTATAAAAATAAACACTACCAGACAAAAGTTTGGAATAATTATGATGTTTTTTAAAATGTTTCTGAAAAGTGATTTTTGCATTTACTTGAGTAAAAATATTGCTAATAATCAGAAATGTTTCTCGAGCAGCAAATCAGCATATTATACTGATTTCTGAAGATCATGTGACACTGAAGACTGGAGTAATGATGCTGAAAATACAGCTGCGCATCACAGAAATACATTACAGTTTAACAGATATTCACATAGAAAACAGCTGTTTTAAATTGTAATAATATTTCACAATTTTACAGTTTTTACTCTATCTTTATTTACCAGTACTTTGACTGGTAATGTGTATTAACACATACTGTACAAGTATTCTTGAATTCTCAGGATTTGCTTCTCCAGGTCAGAAAATCACTATATCCTCCTGACTACCAGGAAAAAACTGTTTTGTCATGTCATTACATTGTTTAGAGCATAAGAAAACTTTTGAAAAAAAAATATTATATTTTATGCATATGTTAGAGGACATCGGGACGTTAAAAAGTCCTGTTTTTAAAAAAATAATAAAAAGACATGAATAGACACGAAAAGGCAAAAACAGTAGGATTTTTGTTTTAATCACAAATCAATTTTCATTTTTTTATTACCAGGGACGTTAAAAAGTCCTGTTTTTAAAAAAATAATAAAAAGACATGAATAGACACGAAAAGGCAAAAACAGTAGGATTTTTGTTTTAATCACAAATAAATTTTCATTTTTTTATTACCAAAAGATGATTCTCAACTATATTATGAAAGATCACGAGTTTCACAATTTGAGTTGAATTACTGAAATAAATGAACTTTTCCACGACATTCTAATTTATTGAGATGCACCTGTATATACAATGTATCAATAAACTGTATCTAATTGGCATATTAATGCGTTTTTGGGGCAACATAGAATGCACAAATAAGTGCAATAACGGGAGTAATAATTAGCAAGATTTTCATAATAATATCTAATATGTCATAGGAATATTGATATATACGTTTTACGTCTCTATAAACATGCTTTAAGTCCTGGTGTCCTCTACAGTGGACATGTATGAAATCGATGTCCTGTTTCATAACAGAAGCTCATATTTTGATTTGAAACCCCATAACATTTTCCTGAGCTGCTGATTTATTATATGTACATGAATGTGCTCTGTACAGGACATCCAGACCTAACACTGTGACATGTGAGGTCTCCGAGAAATCGCTAAAACATAATGCGCTCTCCAGAGCTGGTGGTCAGGAGGATCTAGGTTCTCCACGACTGCAGGAATCATAATGAAGTTATTTTTCTGCACCTGGTCCTCCACGCTGATCTCTGTGCCCAGCGTGTTGTCCGTGCTCCACTTCTCAGTGAAGGTCAGTCCGTACTCGGCCCATTTATACTTCGTCTCCAGGTTCCCGCTGACCTTGTTTGAGTCCATGTTAGACGTGCCACATGTTTTAAACTCCTGACAGTCAAAAACAGAGGCATTATTATATCATACAACAGCCTGCATGAGCTGGAGGACATCTGAGCAACGCCATTCAGAGGAAGAGCAAGTCATTGCATTCAGATGCTTGCTCTTAACAGGGTTAAGAAATAAAAAATAAAATAAAAAAAAACGTTGTCTTTCTCTTTATTTATTCCTTCCCTTTCTAGCTTGTACTTATTTGAACAATGCCTAAAACTTGATATTTCAAGCACTTCCTGTGTCTGTTTGCCTCTTTAAGAAGAATTGCTTTATGTATTCCTCATTTGTAAGTCGCTTTGGATAAAAGCATCTGCAAAATGACTAAATATAAATGTATGTAAATGTAAATGTTTCTGCAGGTTTGATGAAGGTAAATTTAAGGGATAAATAAAGGAAGCACAATACATTAATATGTTCTGTGTTATTTTGGTATAATTTACTATTATAGTTTTTATTAATATTTTGAATTAGTTTTAATTTTATATGATCTTTTTCATTTTAATTTTAGTTCATTTGTGTGTGTGTGTGTGTGTATATATATATATATATATATATATATATATATATGTCTTTTTGTCAGTTTCATTCGTTTTTTTTTTTTTAAATATGCATATTTAGTTTTAGTTTTAATTTTATTATTTTAATTTATTATTTATTTGCTAATTTTGTTCAAAATTAAGTTAAATTAAAAGGAGAAATGTTGCCTTGGTAACTATATGACAAATTAATTTCAAGTTATTTTTTATACTTTCATTTTACTTCAGTTTGGATTATTTTATTTCAAATTACACTTTTTATGTAACACCATAAAAAAAAACGTATAAACCATATTTTTTTTATTTGTAATGTGTGTGTTTGTATGTATGTGTGTGTGTGTATAGTGATTTCTATATTTTGCATCTCCAGTAAAAGTACCTTGATTTAAGGATGTTTAGATATTTGTACTGGAATCAAGACATAAAAAAACTGAGGAAGATAATGATCTTTTGCAGTTCATGCAACATTTACTGCCAGTGACTTCCTGCTCTGATTTAAGACTTTTTTAAAGTCTTTATGTATGGAAGGGTGAATTAAGACCTGAAACAGAAACCCTTAAATCCCGTACATGGATGAACTGCGCACAGAAAACGTGAATTAAGAAAGTAACGCAGAAAGCACGCACCACTCCGTTAGCAGACTTGGTTTTGACGTCAAGCTTCACCGTCCCAAACCCTTCAGCATTCAGAAACACACAGGTGTAAATATAACACAATATGCATGTTTGAAACGAGTGTTTTCTGCAGAGCTGAGGGAGAGAAGCGTGTTACCGTAGCCCTTGTTAAAGACGTCCTTTGCAGCCTTTCCCAGGTCTGCGTACGCCGGAGGAACAGCCATTATATCTGCAGACACAATGACTCTTTATTACATTTTATTATCATTTTATATATTTTGTTCAATTATAAAGAAAATATACACAGTACACGCAATTTAAAAAAAACTTGACAAATTGACCGCTTGAAAATTATCAGTGATTTCTACTGTTCCAAAAGAAACTATTAAAAAAACATATTTTATTAAACAATAAATATTTTTCATGTAAATGCATGCAATTTATTACATACAATAACACTAGAGAACAACTGGTCACTCATTTTCTGACAATTTATTTAAAATCTATAATAATTTTTAGAATAATAATAATCATTATTATTATTATATTATTATCGCCTCATTTGAAATAGGCAAAGTGCAACATTTAATTTATATTCTAAATGTATTATTAATATTAACTCATTTAAAATGAGAATTTATAATTTATGTAGATGTGTTTCATTTTCATTTATAAGTTAATATTTATGTTACATAAAACAAGAGGACAATATTCAACCCTGACAGCTTACTTCATATGTATAATAATTTATAATATTTTAATAATTTATAAAAAATAACAATTATTAATAACAATACAATAATATATAACAATAATAATAAGATTATTATTATTATTAACTATTAGGTCTGTTGCAGACATGCCCATGCTTATTTGTTATTAAATGCACAACAATAGAGCAGGAAAATAATCATTTGTAGTACTGAAATTTAATTTCTAAAACCTAAAAGACAAAAAATAATCTGCAAATATTAAGAGATTAATTTAATCGCAAAGTTCAGAGTTATATAGAGACAAATATATAATATTATAATAATAAATATTATTATTAATTCGTTTTAAATAGGCAAAGTCTGAAATATTTTATATTCTAATTTTATTATTATTCAGGGGGCTACAAGGAAGTGCTAGAAGGTCCATGGAAAAGATTAGAAAATAAAGCGTAGAAACAAAATAAGATTAAACATAAATAAATAAAAAGAGTTGAAAAAATATTAAAATAAAAGAAAATGAAGATTGATTTAAATGATTTGGAAAAAAAATATTAAAATGAAAGAAAATATGAAAAACCCTTTCATTTCTTTTTTTTTTTCCAAATTTGTTATTAATTTTTAAGCTTATTTTTATACATTAAAATATATAGCTGCCTTTTAAATGTTAGAATGGGGTGATCAGGATCCAAAAACTAGTTATTATGCTCATTTTTATCCTTATTATTACTATCATCCTAAAAAAGGGTTAGACAGAAACTCCACTTATCTCATTTCAGTTTAATCTGTCAATTTTATTGATGATGGCAGATAAACGATGAGCATCCAGAGCATCCAAAATCCTGTCAGTATCCAATCAAACACTCAAATCTGCAAAAATACATTTCCAGGCTTCACAAAAGTCCACGAGAGGCTAGATCGTGTTACGTAGCATATGGAGTGTGTGAAAAATTATTTGAAAACTAGTTTCTTTATTCCCAAGCGACCCTTTAAAATGTATTTTGTAGTTAGTTTGATCTTGCGTTCAGATTCAGTATAACATACTGCATACACGATGGAAATGTTCAGAGGAGTTCTGAGCAATGAACATTATAATAATACACAATAATACCTCAATTCCTTATGATTCTGTACATCTCCATCAAACACGCATGAGGTCACTCACTTCTCTGTGCTCACAGAGATCTATAAATACACTCAATTAAAATCCTAATGACCTAACACAGAAAACCTCATCAAAACTAGCCGATTACCACAAAAACACCCTTTACTCCATTTAAACACGAGAAATAAGACGAGCACGGCCAGATTCTCCTCTTCTGCTTTCAGCACGCGTTTTAACATCACTCGCATACTTTTTTGTAAACGTTCAAGAAGTAACTGTAATACCCTCATGACCATCATACGCAGTAAATCTGAAATAAATCAGGACATCGATGAACAACGAACGTTCGTATGAAGACAAAGTCACATATCAAAGGTCATTGGCAACTGGAATGATGCTGCTAAAAAAACACCTCATCTTCATCCCGAAGTTTGGCGAGATTTGCTTTTCAATATACATTAAAAATGGGGAAAACGTACAATGACAAAAAGCGTGAATCTCACAAAAGCTGTCAGGGTCATACTTCAATCAAAACGTCTTATAAAAAAATAAGAAATTTAAAAATATTTAAACATCAATTGTTTTAGTTTTAATGAAATGAATATATATATATATATATGTGTGTGTGTGTGTATAATATTAATTTAATTTTTATTAAATGTTGTAATATTTTGCATTATGCCATTGTTTCATGATTTCCTATTATTTCCTATCATTCATGACAAACACATTTATTATTATTTTTTGTTTTAGATATATGCTGTTGTTTATTTAACACTATAAATTACAAAATAATAATAATAATAATAATAATAAAAGGAATATGAGTTTGTCAGGAGAACGTCATAATGCAAAAAAAATAAATATTAATTTCATTTGTATTAAATTAAAAAAAATATTCGTTTTTGCATTGTGAAGTTGTTTCATGACAAACATGTTTATTGT